AGGAGCCTTGGCACTATAACAGGAGGGAAGACAGAGTATGTGATAGAGACGATGAAAAGTTGGGTGGTCGAGCAGCTAATCTGTTGAGCACCCACCAACACGGCTACTACTGTATTTTGTTGTTGGTGGTGGTGTTTTTCTATTAGGGTAATAATCCTTGAACAATTTTACAGTCCAAGGGAGAGATAAGATACTGATTTTTACCAAAACTATCTATTACTCAGATGAATGTGCCAAACTTAAATAGTGACAGCAAATATTTACGCAAGAACCTCCCGCATACTCCATGTCATGGTAAGTTGTGAGGAGCTGGTAGGAAGAATGGATCCATGAACTAAAGGCTTCCTTACGATCTGAGCCTGATAGGCTAAACCTGAGCCTGTTGACACATGAGTGACTTTCTGCCAGTACCACTCAGTGGAGAAGGTCAAGGGAGTTTTTAAAATCCCTAAATCCCTCCATTTCAATCTTGGTTTGTTCTTCCTCACCCATACGGCACACTTGACTAAAAGCCCAATCACTCCATTTCCTGCTTCCATTTTGGCTTATGCTGTGCCCTCCACTTGGAGTGCCTTCAGTCTGTTCTTCAAAATAGCTTTTAAAAAGGCATAAAATGTTTTACAAGCTTCTCATTTTAGAATTACCTAGTACAGCAAATAAGTATAACAAAGCATAGGTTTACATATAGTTGTGAGGCTACAGTCATTCAATAAAACTTACTGTGGGCTAGGCCCTTGGTGAAGCAGTGATTAACAAGGCCAGATCCCCCAGCATCACTGCTGTCCAAGTTCCAACCCTTGGCTGTCTTCTCCTCCATCTGTAACACAGTCCCCAAAACAAGACAGGACGATCGTGTGCGTTAGAATCGTCTGGTTGGGCCCCATCTGGAACTCACCAGGCCATCGGTGGTGGTAAGGCCCTGAAGTCTGATGAATCCTCGAGGTGATTTTGTCATGGCTCTAAAGTTTGAGGACCACTAGCTTAGATCAGTTCCCTTCGATGGCCTTCCAGGATTTTCATCTGCCCCAAGAGTCTTTGTGCTGATTTCTTCTGCCCCTATTAACCCACCAGGTTGTAGGGAAGTTGTTTTTCTCCATGATTAGAGTTCCCTAGATTTTCATTGTGTAAACATTAGTCTTCTGATACCCAGTTTATCCACAAAGTTGCTTCTCCCAGTCCAGGTATAATTTGTGGAGGTGGGCTTTTGCTTCAGCACGTTAACAAATCGGAGTAGTTTACAACAAATTAGAATAGATGAGATTTCTAGAGCAGGGAGGTAGTATTTCTTCAAAAATACTTTCTAAATGCCAGAATGAGGTGGCAACTGAAAATCTTGAAGCAATAACTTTGATTTCCTGTGCGCTAGTTCCTCTTTTCTATGTAAATTTTACCGTGCTGTGCCCATAGATGAAGGTTGTCCGAAGTCATCCTTGTGCCTGTACTTCTTTGGCAAATATCAGTCATTTGACCATTTGTAGTAACAGATTGCAAACCTTTCTTGGCTATTGAAGTGGTGTGCTGAGATTTGAAATGTCCTTATATTCAAAAACTGAGTCATGAGTAAAAGAATAAAACCAAAGGAGCCACATTGTTTTGGAAAAATTGGAACAAGTAGAGCAAGATCTCTAAACACCACAGATATCGACTACAATGAAGGAGCAATAATGTATAACTGCCTTTATGGCTTGGAGACCTGTGTGCCAGGATCCTCACTCAGTGCTGAGTTACCATGAAAAGCTCTGGGAGCTGCCTCTGTGACTTGAGCTGAATGTTTTAAGCATAAATGCAAAGCATTTGAAGTAGACTCACTTTAGGTCCTTCTAGTTTTGGGAAGTCTTGTTTTTGGAGGTCTTACCTCTCAGCCTATCAAACATATTAAATAGACCCACATGCCACATTTTACTGAAGAAAAGAAGTAAAAAGCGATTTTCACATTTTGCTTTTTAAATTATTGGCCTATGAGTGAGTCATTTAACTCGAACTGCTTGGGATTTCTCAGCATTTCTGTATATTTAGGAATTCTTGTAAAGTTGTAAAAAGTAACCTATACTTTTTTTTAATACAATAGAAGTTGCCTAAATATGAAATTGGACAATAAATGATATAAGTAATGTTGCATTCTACAGACATATAATTAAACCTTTTTTTAGTTTTTATTTTGCAGTTTTAATTTTGGTCCCATAACATCTTTTCAAGTCTCAATATTTTCCAAAGCTCCTGAAAAGATCGTAGGTCCTATGCCCTCTGCCTCTTGTGCCTAATAATAAACCGGCCTTGGTGACAGGACAAGGTATTGAATCTAGAACAAGGACTACATGCTCCCTTAAAGAATGACCAGGTATAATGACTGGCCTAAAATGCTAGAAGCCAAGAGAATGTGAAACAGAGTTTGTTGGAATGTTTATCTGGCTTAGGCCTCTGGAGAGCTTTGCTCTTCAAAGGGTGGACCAAGGATGAACAGCGTGAGCATCCCCTGGAGCTTGTTAGAAATGGCAGAATCTCAGGCCCCACCCCAGGCCTACTGAGTCATAATCTGCATTTTTAACTAGATCACCAGGTACCCACTAAAGTTTGAGAAGCACTGCTTTGTCTGGAGCAGTGGTTCTCAGTTCTGGGTGCACAGGAGAATCACCTGGGAGTCCTAACACTCCTGATGTCCAGGTTGTACCCAAGTCCATTCATTAGAATCTCTGGGGGTATCTATCTGTATTTTAAAGGCTCCTGGGTGATTCCAGAGAGCAACCAGGTTAAGACTCACTGGTTGACAATAAGGTCACAGAGGCTCCATGTTGTTTACCAGTGAGCACAGTTCAGGGAACTGTGGATTTTGTTTGTGTTTGGGACCCAGCATATAAATAATAAATGGGTCATTTTTGCTGTGGAATAACCTTCTTACTTTGGAAAGTTGAATGTTTTGGCTGCTTGCCAGGACCTTAGGCCCAATAGTCTAAATCCCAGATATGTCATGTTTCACTAGCACTGGATGCTCTTGTTTCTGAACAACAATTCATGCTACAGTCGTGGGCCAGAAGGTGGTTTTTTTATGTGAAACTCAGGTGTAGTGGGACTGTGTGTATTTCTCCATTGAATACCATAGCAGAACGTTTGTGCTTAGAACCACATGTTAAGAATGAACTGCTTCCTTGCTTGATAGCATTCCATTTTCTGATAATTAAGCATTAGTTTCATAATGTAAGTTTTAGATAAACTACTTTGGGAATTTTAATGATTTCTTCAGTTATCATCAATTCTGCTAGTGGCTATGGAAAATTGCCACTTCATACTGTTATTTGCAGGTGATTTATCTCTTTAGTAGGAAATTCACTGATGGTATCTGCTGTTTGGGGAGCTGGAGACACCACGGGACTTTTCATTTTCATAGGCTCTGCTTACACCTAACATTCAGAGTAAGAGTTGTTGAAAGATGTAATTGACATATATAAAATGTACATGCCTACTCACGGTGGAGCAGGTGCCCGAGAAATGGTGGTTTTCTTCTCTTTCCCTTTCTTTACCTTGGGCTATTCTCATTCAACCATCTGACCCCTTAGTCTTATTAATATTTTCCTATCCCAGGAGAAGGCTATCATAGTGAGTTTTCCAGCAGATAACAATAATGAACCTTTATGTCCTTCAAAGGCTCTAAATATTCTTCTAATTAGTAAATATCCCTCTAGTCTAGGTTTTACCAGTAGGATAATCAAGGTGTGAAGTTGGTGGGGTGTTTTGTTTCCTTTTGTTTTATTTGCAGTCATAGAACTCTACCCCTTGATTGCAAATCCTGTGGTGAGAACTGGAGTCTCATCACATCAGACACTCCATTGGGCATGCATCTCAGCAAAGGTCGAGGAGGTTTTGAGTATCAACCATATATATATATGTATACCATTAGTTTATAGTATTTTGGGGAATGGCCTGTGTTGTTTCAGTGTAATGCTGTATGTAATATTAAATGAACCAACTGGATATGCATTCAGTTTTGAATGTCAATTCACAGAGCTACAAAAAGGAGCAGGTTTTGAACGAATTGCCTAACTCTAGAATTAACCAAGAATGCTCACCAAATCCTCTTTTAATCTCCCTAGCAAGCGACACGTGGCTGTATATGTCCCCTTGTCAGGCTTCCCCTAATTTCTCCAGCCCTGAAATGCCCCATTTTCTGAATTGCCTTAACACCCACTGGCAGTTTCCCTCAGCTTAGTGCTGGGTTATAGACAATTTCACAGTCTGTAATTGTTTCTTTAGTGGCATTCTGTCACCAGGAGAGAGGGCCTTCCATAGCTCTTGCCTGACCCCTAATACCTTAAAAGGGGGAGAACAGAGAGAAGACCTCTAATAAATACTCAATATATTCTGTCATTTTATTGATTTCATCTTTGGGCTCCATTTCTTTTTCTGTATTTTTTTTGAAGTGTGGCTTTCTTCCATGTTAATCAAATATGGAATATTGTATTTGGATTAATCATTTTGCTTTGTTCAGAAATTAATAAAAGCATTAATTTCTGCTAGAGATTAATATATTTCTGCCTGAGTCATATGAATTCATAGATCTGGGTATCATTTTACAAAGAACCCAACTTCAGTGATTGATTTTTTTTTTTTTTTGGGTGTAGAGATTACTTTAAAGAAAATTTTCAAAAAGTTAGCACATGGTATTCAAATAATATTATTCCACACGCTTCCTGAAGGTTTTCTTTTCCTTTTTAAAAAATTTATTTATTTATGTATTTATTTGGGGACAGTGGGGTGGGGGGGGTGAGCGGAAGGGGAGGGAGAAGGAGAAAAAAAGAATCCCAAGCTGACTCCAAGCTGAGCACAGAGCCTGACATGGGGCTTGATCTCAGGGCTGAAACCGAGAGTTGGACACTTAACCAACTGAGCTATCCAGGTGCCCCCTGTAGGTTTTCTTTTACCTTAATTGTTTTTTATTCTTATGTAATAAATGATTTTCACTAATGCAAAGTTTCCAACTTAAAATGTTCTTTTTTTTTTTTCACTAGCGTTATTATTACAACAGTTCTATACCTGTCTGATGCACTTCGTAAGAACTTCTTAAATGAAAACTTTGATTATAAGGTAAGTATCCATCCAGATGACTCTCCTACCAGAGCTGAAATCTTTTACCTTATACTTGAGGAAATTACCTACCATATTTTCTTTCTTTTAATAATAGGAAAACACATTTACTCCACCTACCCTAAATTAATCTTGGGCTATATCAGCTTTCATGATGAATAATATTAGAAGTTGTCATTTCTGAACTAGTTAGGGCTACAATCATGCTTGTCAACCTAGTGGAAATCATGGTGCATAAGAGGAGGTAGTTCCTTGTTGTGACTCTAAATTTTCATTCTTCTTTCTTGTATGGTCCTCATGTGTGACAAAGGGAACTTAGAACATAGGTTTTTAAGACATTTTTTAAAATAGAGTTTATATGAAGAAAATGTTTACAAAGTAAACACTTCAGTTCCTTTACTTCTCCGTCATCACATTTTTTTTAGAATGAATTAATGAAAAGAAACAAAATGAAAGATTGGTAAAATTCTTTAAGGCAGAACTTTCTCTACATCTATAATATAATTTGATATGCCTGAGAATTCTTGATATACTATTTTTTTTAAGATTTTATTTATTTATTTGACAGAGAGAGACAGCGAGAGAGGGAACACAAGCAGGGGGAGTGGCAGAGGGAGAAGCAGGCTTCCCGCCAAGCAGGGAGCCCGATGTGGGGCTCGATCCCAGGACCCTGGGATCATGACCTGAGCTGAAGGCAGAC